CAACAGAAAAAAAAAAAACAACACAGTAGAATTCAGTATTTTAAAATAATTACCTAAGAGAAAATCAACTAGTCTACAAACTAAGATACCTTTTCCAGTTTTGTGCTTAGAGGCTGAGGAAATTGGTACAGAAAGAAGAATATAATCTCTGGCTACAGCTGTAAAATTAGCAAGTTCTGAATAACCCTGCAGGGTGCGTGTGTGTACTCCAAAACACCTTGGTCCAGAAATAATTTAACTGAATTGTGTTTCTGAAGGCAGTGTTTTAAACAAGAAAAAAAAAAAAAGTGTTAGAAATGAAGAACTGCTAAGATAGCCAAAAGCAGCTGCAGAGTAGCAGGCAAATCTCTCAGGTACAGGGCTGAGATGCAACTTGCTTTAAAGTTCTGAAATAAAATTACCCTGGTGGCAAATGACACCACAAGCATCAGAATGACAGTGAGGGTCAACCCAAGCAGGTATTGCTATCTCCCTCTGAGAGAAAGAGATTACTATTGCACTAAGAGTACAGAAAGTGTTTCTTGCTCATCACTTAGGTCTAGAAAACATGGACACAAAAATACAACCTTTTATCAGTCAGTGCTGCTCTCCCCATTTGCCTTGTGTTTTTTGAGCATGTTTAAGGAAGGAATCTGTCTGCTGTAAAAGCCACTTCTTCCAGGGCCAGCTCTGAGTAGGGAATATGGTGCCAAGTAGGTAGGAATTTTGGGTTTTTTTTCCCTGGATTGTCTTCCAGTAAGAATAAAGGAGTCTTCCCTCCTGTTGTCCTTTTTATTTATATATTTTCTTCTCAGTTGAGCTGCTGTGTGTTTACAATGTTTCAGGAGTGCAGGAGAAGATGGGCATCATGAACAAAGGAGTGATTTATGGGCTGTGGGATTACGAGGCTCAGAACGATGACGAGCTGTCCATGAAGGAAGGAGATTGCATGACAATCCTGCGCCGCGAGGACGAGGAGGAGATCGAGTGGTGGTGGGCACGGCTCAACGACAAGGAGGGCTACGTGCCCCGAAACCTGCTAGGGGTGAGTCCTGCCTCCTCCCAGAGCCAAAAAAACCCCACCCCAGGATGTGGAGTGTACACAGCATTGTATTCTCCTTGGATCTCTTGCATCGAGGTGCAGCTTTAAGAGTCAAGAGGAAGGAGATGACATTCTCCATCTTTATTTAGGGAGTTGAATACCTTGGCAGAGTGGGTTAACACCCTCTGTTTAAGGTACTTAACACGGATTAATGGGTGCCCAAAAGAACAACATGTATCACTACCCTGCTGTAGACAGCATGCCCTGGTACCAGCCTTGTCTCACCATCTTAGAGGAAAACAATCTCTTTTATCCATGTGTGAATAAGGTTTTCTTGAGCATGTTCTCAGGCATGTGGGGTGATTTTAGGGCTGTCCTGTGTAGGGCTAGGAGCTGGACTCGGTGATTCCTTGGAGGGGGGTCCCTTCCAACTTGGGATATTCTGTGATTTTTTGAGAATTTTCCCTGTTTCAAAAAAGTGATGTAGTGGCACAAGGGGCCTTCAGAACTGAAACTTGCATGAAGAGTGAGTCATGAGTCCTTTGCTGTGTACACAGGGCACTTTTTGATCCAAGGAGATAAACTCTGCAAAAATCAAGGTTATCTTTTTTTCTAGTGTTGGAAAAAAGATTACATTGCTCAGTAAAGACAGATCTTTGTTTTCTCCTCTGCTTTTTAAGTAACCTTTAACCATGTGTCTGAGGCCTTCTATGAATAACCTCTCCTTCTCTCATCACCTTTTGTATTGCTTTTTATTAAAAACAACAGTGTACAAATAAGATACTTTCAGTTATGTCCCTGTATTTCTCCTGATAGCTGAGTTGCTAGAAAACAATGGCAGATGGACACATACATAAAAATTCCATTAAGCTTTTTTCTGCAATTCTAGTTTCTGGAGATAAGAGGTTCTCCAAGATTAACCACTGTGAATTTTAGCTGATTGATGTATGATGCTTGAACGAGGCTGAGCCTCCTTCCTCATGCAGATAATCCTTACTCTTAAACTGGATGGATTTTGCAGAGTGACTCTGTCTAATGCAAAATCAGTTTTCATGTCCATGTCTTTATCATTTCCAGGTCAGGCCTACATACCATGTACTGTAAAATCCTGCCTAACATACTACCCCTACTCAGCTTTTTCCCCTCTCCAAAGTAAACATTTCTAAATTGAGAGCAGCCATCATCCGTGAACAGTAAGGTTAAAATGGCAGCTTTTTGATTTTTGCCTGCCCTGTGGTGAATTGTGCATGTAGTGCTTGTTCATAAGCTTGTGCTTTGAGCCTGAGCACAGGTGTGTAAGAACACAAGGAACATCTGTGCTTCCAGAAAAAAAAACGTACAAGGCAGCACAGCTTAAAACTGGGGATCAAAACTTACTTTTGTAAGTGCAACACAATCCCAACAGAATCTTTGGGGAAAACTACACAGTATTAATTAGCTGTGACTCTCCTGTGTCTGTTCAGTTGTTCTAGTGCTGCCACTGAAATATTCTGTGGTGATTCTCCAAAGCAATTACTGGCCTCTTAGTATAACAGCTGAATTCTAGTCTGTGATGTTCACCAAAGAGGAAAGCATTTGGTAGATTAATATATACTTATTTCATAGTTGCTTTATCCTTTTTCAGCCAGGTGTACTGAATAAAAACAAGGATTAAACTGCCAGTATCAGTGCTCTACCCTTCATAGTGACTCCCCAGCTCCCTAAGCTTGTAAGGTAATGCTGTCAAAGGGAGTCTTTTGAACACTGTCAGGTGCTGTGATACCGTGACTGACTGACTTCCTCTCTGAGAGTGGTGAAATCACAGCAGGCTGAGACAGACTTGTGAAGTCATTGGCCTTGTCTTAGTCACTGAGAAAAGAAGGAAGCCAGAGTCTGGTTATAGAGTGAAGGGGGCAGCTTTGAGGAGAGCTTTAAGCTGTGGTGTAGACATGCATTGCCATTTAGAGCATGAGGATTCATCTTTCCTAACTGGATGAAGTGTTGCCTCCTCTTTTCATATGCCAGTGGCCAAGCTTTTCAGAACAGCAGCTGTTCCCTAAGCCCTTCCAAGTGGGAGCCAACAGCTTCCCAGGCATCTTGTCCCTGCTGTGTGCTGTCCCAAGCTGTGTCCTGTCAGTTGTCCCCTGCACCTGTGTGCATGGCCAAGTTTTCCCAGCTTTTACAAACATGGGGTAACTGAGAGGTGTTTTAAAAGATTTTATTCCATTATCAGTCTTGATGAATAGTGAGATGTAAAACTCAACACCATTCCATCAGAAGCCAACCTATTTCCTGGTTACAATACCTTATAAATGTTTTTCAGCCTATTAGCTTTTGCCACACAATGCTGCTATTACTTCTAACAACCACCTCTATTTTTTCCCCACGTAGTCCTGCTACAATGCATCTTTCACAGTTCTAATTCTCTATCTAGTCTTTTTGCAAGGCCATATTTTGAAACTTGTTGAAATTTGTTTCTAGTTCAATCTAGTTCTGAAATCAACACACCTTATCTCAATGTTTGCAAACAGATGTACAAGACTGTGAACTTTCTATCAGATTTTAAGAATCCTTTACAAATTAATTTCCGGCAGCCAGGCTGTGTGAGCAGCACGTGGCCCAGGGGCCACAGCCTGGCAGGGACCAATTTCCTGCTGGGCAGGTCACTCGTGGAACTGGCCACCCACCCTCCACTTTCTAAAGCAAAGCTCCTCCACATCCATGATCCTTCTGCAGACAGATGTCTCCAGCTTGCCCCAAGTTTTACTGCCATAAAAGCTGATAGCTGAGAGAAAGCAAACCAGACTTTGCCTCTCTGGTCCCATTTATAAATCAGGGAACAATCCCACAGTTCACTGAACACAGAAGTCTCTTGACTTACAAAACCACGTGCTTTTCCTGGCCCATCCATCAGGGTAGAGCTGAAAGTACTCAATTGTGTTCTGTTCAATACCTTCCTTTTGTACTGAACCGGTTGGTATTTTTTTAAGCTTGCCTAAGACTGCTAAATTCATATTTGTCAGTGCCCTGAGTGTTTTTTATAAGCGTGCTTTTTACTACTATGAATTACATTAGACTTGTAGCACCAAAGAGAGGGGGTTTTTGTTCCTTTATTTTTTATTTTTAAAAAGTAACCTTTTACAATACTAAAATTTTAAACCTCATTTCTGTTTTACCCTCAGCTGTATCCAAGGATTAAACCTAGACAAAGAAGCTTGGCATGAAATAGTACAGAAGCCAGATTCTTGAAGTACTAATCATGGATAACTTACAGCAAAAAAAGTCCATTTTGCGTTGGTTCCAATATCATGAGACTTATTTAAATGACAATGTCATTTGAAAGCTATGAAAAATGTGCTTTGAAAACAAATGAAGGATTGATGCATTAGCAAATGGATGAGGGCATTGTACAAGATGAAATAATGCTTACAAGCAAATGAAATTCTGCTGCCTTTGGTCGAATCAAGCCATTATGTTCAAGTACCCACCCAGCTGTCTTCAAACATGGCAGAAGAGAGTTTCACTTATTTTCTGCATTAAATACAAGGACCCTTTGAATTTGCCATTGAAGGAATCGTCGTGAAACAGACAACTTGGCTTTGTCCAAATTTATCCCGAGGCTTTTTCCAGATGGGAAAAATCGAAGTATTTACACAGCATCCAACTGCTTATTGCTGGAAGCAGAATGTTTGTTAAAAAAAGCTAAAAAACCTGAAGTGCATCTGAAGAGTGACAACGACATGACCAATCCATTAAGCAATAACTTTTAAAAAAGCTGTAGCATCTTAGAAATTCTATGTATTCAAAATATCATGTGCTGTAACAGAAATGTAGTTTTAGATTCCTCTTTTTACAAAGAGCCTCATGTATTTATTGTATTTTGTACTTTGAAGACTAAGTGTAGAAACTTTCTGTAGTCCTTGACAATGTACTTGTTTTTACTCTACTTGTTTACTCCACCATTAAACTTTTGTTTCGTCTTAAGCTTTAACTCTGGGTATTTTAATTGTGATTTTTATTAGAAATGTTACCAGTAAGACACACTGTTGTTCTACATTACAGTAACTTTCAGCTACTTTCTGTATTAAACTGAGCCACTCCTCCCCCATCCATTCAAGATAGTTTTTCTGCATTTAAAATTGAGCTGGATCTGTTAGTGACACATTGTTAACCTTAAAAGCTAAGGGACATACTTAAGGAAAAAACTCAACTTGGTATAAGTATTTTCCAAATAAAGCCTTTCCTATAGAGCTATCCTTTCTATCTCTCCATTTGGCAATAATTTGATACTGAACAGTATTTAATGGAGGAGCAAATAATTCCTTAAGGGTATTTGGAAAGTGCCTCACCCTGCAGGCTCATGTTTTCCTACTAGGTAAGTCCTACTGCTCTCTGAAAAGGTGCCCATAAGGAAGAAATTTTTTGTAAGGAGGACACAATTCCTCAGGTGGGGAAACTAAAGGCAGCAGCAGTTGGCTCATAGTCACAGCCTCTGTTTTCAACAGGCTGGGTGTGGGGAATGTAGTATCAACCTCTAAGGAAAAAAAAAAGCCTATCTTCAGCAGAAATAACAGTCTGGTAAACTTCATTTCTGCCTTTTTTTTTTTTTTTTTTAAATTTAAATGCTTTTTGTATTTCAAATGAAGATAAATAAGATACAGGAACTCAAGATTCCACCTCAGCATGGGCTTTCTCTTGGAAGAATCTTGTTACCAGCAGCCTCCAGCTCCAGGCACATCAATGCTCACTTTGGTCAAAGACGTACTTGCTTTAAAAAATTCTTTAAAGAATATTTAACTAGGATATGCTGGGTCTTGGAACCCCTATCTCTGAGTACAGATGGTTAGATATGCAATACTATCTCTTTGCTAATTTCAGATATGCAGGTTGTTGTTCAAAAAGCACTTTTTAAAACCAGACTGTCAAGCTATAATGAGCTTTTCTTCCTGAAGTCCTGTAAAATGCCTTAAATACAAAGATATTAGCAAAGCAGTGAAAAACTTGCACTGAAGATTGGTACTAAACTAAAGCCTTTGTCCAGAGGCTATATGGGAGTAGGCACAGACTGTCAGGTCCATAAAAATGAGGTTGCAGGTTCTTCTGTGGAAGTAGAACGCTTTTCCTCTTGCAATTGCGTGCAAAATCTGCTTACTTTGTGTAAGTTAAGGCATATTCATGTTTGGATGTTACTTGTATGTAGCTTGATTATCTTCACCTGATCATGCTCTTGTTGAGGTCTCAGGCTGATGCCAGTGGCTCAAATGACAGTAAAACACAGCCACTGTAGGAAGAGAGAGAGGAAAACAAGGTTTATATTTAGTGAAAAGACCTTTAGCAAGCTTACATAGCTGCATTTCTAGCATAGAGTCAGCCTGTTGTTACAGAAGTAATTTTAGGATCTTTCCTGAGGGATTTAAATTTATATCTCATTTAAATCAGAGTTTTGGGATTCTTAGGTTCAGAAATAAGTTATGTTCAGGTAATAAGGAAGTCAAACACACGTAGGAGGGTACTTTTCTCCAAACTTAGTCCTTTCTACAGGGCACACATGGGGCAGGAGGAAGCAGACATGAGCAGACCATCAGTCTTGCCTACACAACTGCACCTACATTTTGCTCTGTTGATAGAAAAAGCAGTGAAGAAGCCAAAATTACTACTTTTACCAAAAGTGGCTTCTGGTGCAAGTAACTGTGTTTGTTAGAGAATATGCTGTAATGTAGGTACATTTTTAAAAGGTAATCTTTCTAAGGCTACTTATAAATACAAGGTAGATAAATCCAGCACAAATGTGAGTACTTAAAACCAGCCATCCTCAGTCAGAATGGAGCAGGACAGATTCCCCCACCCCCCCAGTTTTTCCCCCAAAAATGAAAACAAATGTTTTAGAGCTAAATGAACTTAAGAAGGTTCAATTCTATTGTCCCACTTTTTTCTGTATCCAGTTTTCTAAACACTTCTGTGGTTGGAGAGAGATGACAGACAAGGGTAAATACAGGAACAAATTTGAAAGTCTTGTCTTTCCTTGTGCTTCAGGATCAATAAAGAATTTAGTCCCAGAATCTAAAACTTGACAGTGGTCTACACCCCAAATCAGAAAGGGCCACTCCAAAGTCATTGTGCAGGAGCAAGACTGAACATTTTTAGTTGTTGCCTAGTATTTTTTAATCAATATAAAGTTGTTTGCAGGGAAGACTGGCTGTGGTTCAGCAGCCCGGCCTAAAAGACTGTTCCTGGATCTAGGAGAAGCCAGATTGATATCTGAGGTTTATATTTGTCTGAGTACCTTATCCTGGGCTTCTGGACAGTTCTGCCTGGACAGTTATCCTGCTGGAATCACAAGGCAGCAGAGCCTGTCTGGTTGCTGTGTGTACTCACTGAACAAGGTTTTGAGCCGAATCAAACAGCACACAAAATTGTCCAAGTCAATGACGAGATCCTCATCAGCAAAACGAGCCACAATGATCTGATGTAACTGGCAGTTCAGTTTGAGCCCTGAAAATACAATGCCAAGGATTTAAAAGACTATTTCCAAAAAGTAAACATGGGTACAAAATTAAATACCTGATCTTGTGTGGTGGCAGGAGGGGAAGGCTCCAGAGTGCCCAAAATTCAGTAACTCAAGATGGGACTGAATGGCTCTGAGCGTCTCTCAACCCTGCTTGAAACTGATAGAATCCTATGAAGAGACAGATCAATATAAATACCTGCTGTTTCCAGTGCCCTCCTCATCTCATACGAGTTCATGGTACCCAATCGATCCACATCAATTTCTCTGTAAATTTTCTGCAAAACACAAAACCCAAAGTGAAACCTTGATAAAAATGCATAGTGTGGTTTAGCTTCTGGCAGAAGTGAAGCATTTTGAAATGCAGCCTGCATGTTACTTAAAGAACTTTGCAACATTGATCTGAAGGACTTGGTACTTCCATCCATTTGTTCTAAAAGTGGCTTTAAAAAGTAAATTTTTTAAAATGCAGTAGTCAGAGCAGATAAAGACAAAACCTGGGGGATTACAGACACACAGTCCTGCTTTGGTAAAGGTGACTGTGCACATTGTATGGCACAAATCAGTCTACAGCCACTTCTACGTGTGATTGTTCTCCCGGAGGGGTTGTGTCTTACCTGGTATTTCTGAGTCTTTGTCCAGAGGGGGTGGAACTCCTTCAGTCCCAGACTGTCACTCCCATCATTCTTCTCTGAGTTAAGGAAGTTTCTTCAGAGGGAAGAAAAAGGGGTTTCATCTCCCTCTGCTGGATTTACTTGCATGGACAGTTATGACTTTTAAAAAAATGCAAACAGAAGAGGGATTGAAGTCCTTTTCTGAAGGACTCATCCTCTCTCCAGGACTCATCTTGCTGAATACACAATTATTGTCCAAGATTTCTTTCTAAATCATTAAGATCATTAATTTAAATAGTGACCAGTTCAACAAGCTCTTTCTGCACCCCTGCTGCAGGTCTCTGTCTTTCCACTACAAGTATAAACGAGCCAGGATGATTTCATTTGGTTCTGCATATTGGGTTAAACACCTCCAGTTACTGGGGCACAAGTCCTGGGTCTGGATTATAAACAGGAAAAGCCACAGCCACACTTGCTATTTGGAGACTTTCAGCTCTTGAGCAAACAGCTAACAAAAGAACCTGGGCATGGCACTGCACCCAAAACCTGCCAAGGACTGCCTGTGGACTGCTGTATTTTACCAAAATATAGAAAAGTATTACCTTGTGTTGGTAATTTTCCTTTTCCAACTCTGCAATTCAACTCCCACTGCACAGAGAAGCTGAACACAACTATTCTTAGACCTGATCCTTCATCCTACACTTTTGCCTGTATCTTAGGAGTAAAAGCTCCTAAAATCCTGCACACTCTCTGCTTCCTGTATGGCATGTTAAAACACTGTATTTGTGTTCCTCATTTTCCATTTGCTAAATCCCCCTATGGCTTTGTAATGCTCTTACCAACTCCAGCCAGATAACAGAGAGGTGAAACAACCCTACAGCCAAGGCCATCCTCACCATGCTGAGAGCCTTTTCCCTTTTCCCTGCACAAACATCACTTTGTCCCCAGCCAGACCAGAACACCCAACAGCTGGGAAAGCTTCCAAGCAGACTTTTTTTGATGATGGATTTTTCCCATGGCCTGGGATAACACACATGTGAACAACAAGAAGAAGGGAGTGGCTTTCTTAGGGGAATCAGGGTAAAGCCATCTTCTCCACCTCAGGAGCCATTTGTACTCCAGGATGGACCCAGCAGGGAGCAAAGGCAGCTGGCCTGCTTCAGCTCAGGAAGGGGAATATTATCTAGGAAGAGCTTTAAAGGCTACATCTAACAGGTCAACCATTGTTTTGCATGTCTCAATACTAAAGCAATCAGATTTAATATCTTGGCCTGTAAAGAGCAAAAGACAGGATTATCACTGCATGCTGTACCACAGCACCTAAATAGCTCATGAGCTCTCCAACCAGCTTTTATTTGCTTCCAACAGTGCCATCCTTTCAGCTGACAAAGGGGCTTTGGGTGCAAGTGAGCTGGGATGTGTCCCCAAGCAAACAGCCTGAGTAGTCTGGTTTGTAGGTGTGCTGCAGGAGCAAGAGACAGAGACAAAAGCTTCCCTGCCTGCCTGCAAAGTGGACTTCTGTGGACAACATGGACTTCCAGCTTATGGAGGTCAGCAGGAGGTGGCTTCATGAAAGGCTGAACATGAAGCCAAGCTTGGAAGCCAGCAACAGCCCATTGCTGATTACTGGCTGCTGCACACAGACATACACCACAGTCCTGACCATCTGATAAGATTTCACTTTGGAAATTAAAGAGACAATTATTTCTCCAAGCACTTTTTTCTTGAGAAAAAGAAGCCCAGAGTTTCAAAGTTTCTCCTTCTCCTTAGGGACACCCCAGACCATTGGCTGGGCTACTGCTTGAATCACTCCTGTGTGGTTCAGTACTAAAACAGCAGCAATCTCTCTCTTGATTATTATCAAGGATTATTCAAATCCATCCATCTTCCTGGCAACCAATTCCCAGTGGCAGATGCTGGGATAAAAGACACCCATCTGTACCCTGCCAAAGCACACATCCTGTGAAACACCTTCTGGGCTGGCACAGCCCCAGTTTCTGCAGCCCCTGAAGCAGCAGAGAGAGCACATGGTCGTGGCCATATGGAGAACCAAGCAGCAGGTCTGGGGCACAGCCCAGGCTCTGACCCTGCCCAGGGCAGTGGTGCCCTCTGTGCTCCCATGGCCACGGTGGAAACCTGCTGGTGGCCATCTGAAGTGGAGGAAGGCACTCAGGTTTAGCCAGGATTTTATTCATGATGCTGTGCAGCTCGAAGGCAGAGATCTCTTCATCCTGTGGAAAAGAAGAAAACAAATTTTCCACCATGAGCTGCAGACACCATCTGCAGCCTCTGATTCCTTTGGGCAAGTTGGCTAATTTCTAACACCCCTTCGAGTTCAGTTCCCTTGAATTGAAGGGAGTGGGAAGCTCTCCCCACCTCCCATTCCCAGGAGCACCACCAGTTCCCAGAGATCAGCACACCCAGCAGCAAGGTGTGCCCGAGGCAAGAGCAGCCTGGGGAGAAGCCCAGCCCAGCCATATGCTCTGCCCAAGGACAGAATTCAGGCCCTGCAGAGATAAAAGTCAAGCCCACAGTTCAAAAGGAGCAGAGATTGTTCACCAGGAGCGCTCCCAAATCCACCGTGGAAGCAGCTGGGTGACTGCACAGGTTTGGGATGCACAACTCTGAGAGCTGACTCTGCACAAGAACTAAACTCTGTCCTGGGGGAGGCATCTCTCTTACCCACTCACCACGATGCCAGTAAGATATTACCAAAAAACCACTCATATTTCCTGCTAGCTGCCCAAAAAGCTTTTTAAAGCTGGGTTTGATGTCATCTTCACTCATCTCTGTCTAAAAGACAGAAACAGAGAAGGTCAAAAGGGGGAAAGTTTCTGCCTAAGAAAGACTTAATGCATTTCCTTGCCCTTAGTAAAAAATTCAAATGGCAAGGTTGAAGGTACAAAGTGGGTTTTATTATGATTTTATTCAGTTTTATTTTCAGGGGCACCTCAAAATACTGGCATTGTAAATGCTGGAAAAAACACCCACTACACATAGGGTAGCTGCATTAATAGGCAAAGCATCCCCAGCACGAGTAAACATATTGTGAGCCACTATTTACTCCTGGAAAGAGCATTACATGCAGAAACAGCCCTGCTGCTGCAAGGTGCACTCCTGGACTCCTGGAGAACAAAGGGAATTTCCTGTGGCTCCAGGTAACTCTTGAGAGTGTACCTCTGCCTGGGAAGTCCAAGTTCTAGATAAAAGACAACACTTGTTTCCATTACATTCCTGATGATATTTCCATTTGCTTGACACCCAGAAATGGATATTGAAAGATCTTTTCCCATTTTCCCACACCTAGCAATGGATATTGAAAGATTTTTTTTCCCATTTTCCCAAAGTGGGACAACATTTCTTGATAATGCCTATAGAAAACATCACCCTGCACAGGGAAAAGGCACTTCAACCCCCACTTACAACAAAATTATCTCAATTTAAAACATTTAAGTTGAAGTACCTCATCAAAATTGTCTTCAATTTCATCATCACCCTAGAAAGAAATCAATATTAAAATCAAAACAAATCATGTTTATGATGCTTTTCCTTCAAGCTTCAGTTAAAGAAAGATTCTTTAAAATATGGAAAAAACAATGAGCATTCAAATATTACTGGATTAATCAGCAATGGACACAGCATAGCAGAGTGAAAGCTGTGTTTTGCCAGCTATGGCAACAAGAGTTTGAAAAGACAGGACAAATTGTTCTGCAGAGCCACAGACAGGATTTTGGGGCTCACATAACTCTGGGTCTTTTTTTTTTGCCTACTTAGCACAGGAACTCTTAGTTTCTTTCCATGGTATTTGCACCAGTATCTCCAAAGAGGGAAAGTCTCCATTTTCAGCATAATGGTAATTCTTCCAGAGGCCTGTGGATGCTAAGTGTCATGGTATATTCACTCAATGCCATTTTGCTATTTCCAAGAGTTTACAAGGTTACTACAAAAATCAGTTTGATTTGGGTACAAATCAAACTTTGTCTAGTAATTTCTTCTTTAAAACAGCAAAAAGTGTGAGCCCCAAAGTAATTCTGATGTGCCTCATGCTGTCCCCCAGGTGCTGAGGGAGCACCAGACCTACAGATGGTGCCCAAGCAGTCCTAAGGGCTGAATGTGTCCTCACACATTGAACATCCCAGGTTTCCCACTGCTGCAGGAGTATGCAGCAAAATATTACAGGATAGAGGAAGGTTTCAGCTTGCTTTGAATCAAGGCAACTCAATAAAAAAGACTCCACACCCCTTCCTCAGGCTTTAGCTTTTTAATTTTAATTAAATAGTAATTTGGATAAGAAAAACAATAAAAATAACAATAATAATAATAATCTCCCCCATGTGCCCACTGCTGTAACATGGTCACCAAAAGCCACCTATGTGGAGTTGCCATTTTTTTCAGAGAAGACTCTGAGGCAGAAGTCCCTCAGGGGGTTCAAAGGGGGCAGGCACAATGATTTATTCTCCTTCAGGGAGCTCAAACCGGTTCAGCACCTACCAGAGGTTGATGAAGGTGTTGGATTTTTCCAGGGCTTTGTTGGTCAGGAAGAAGTTTTTGCTCAGATGGATATTTGTCTGGCCAGAAAACTTAAGAAAAGCAAAGAAAGTGGAGAAAGCCCACTGCAGTCTGCATGTGTTCACATTTATAAATATAAAATATCATAGATATGGCAGTTAGCTATGTCTGGGGAAAAGAAAATAAAAGGGAAAAATATGTCAGTTTGACAGAACTGAAAAAGAAGAGAAAGGGGGTGGGAGTCCTGAGATGTGGCTGCAAATGTATTTTGCAGATCACTGCAATAAATCATTCAGGTCATGCTTTTGGTTTGCAGATGATGATGGGTGCCTGAAGACATTGGGCAAATTCTTCCACCAATCATTTTTCTTTAAATTGAGATGGCACATGAGCCATGGTGTCACCTGCAGCTCAGCTCTGCCTCCAAGGTCAGGCTGCTTCAGAGCAGAGCCCACTCATGGAGGGCTCCAAGAATAAAACAAAACAAAATAATAAAATAAAATCATATCTGGAGTGAAACATCTAGTGAAAGGTGGCCCTTCCCATGGCAGAGGGTTGGAACTGGGTGATCTTTAAGGTCCCTTCCAACCAAACCATTCTATAATTCTGTCATCTTCCAGAATGAACTGGCTGCTTCAGCTCTAGAAACCAGCTTCAGGAATGTGCATCTTTCAGAAACCTCCTCCTTCCTCTCCTCCCAGATTTTTAAGAATGAAGAAAGACTTTTAAAAACCTGTCAGACCTGCTGCATAGTGGGAGATAAAATTCCACCTTCTAGGGGAAAGAAGAGTCACGGGACTGTAGAAAGAATGAGTTTTCTTATGGAAATGAAATATTTGGACCACTAGGGTGAGTGACACAGTACTGCTAAGGCATTAAAAAATTTAATTAACCAGTAGCACCATTTCTTTTCCTGATGAAACCATCCTTTACATAAAAGCCACTGGTTTGGGCACAGCCTCAGGAGCCACAGGATGCCCAAGCTGCTTTTCACAAACCCTCACAGGAACAGCAAACCCAGTAATGGGTTACCCAAGGGTTTTGCTGAGCTTCAGTCCTTCCTCTGAGGAGCAACAGCTCAGAGGCATTGCTGCATTGCCACCCCTCTGTGACCCCCAGGGTGCACTATTAGCTGCCTGCAGGTAGAAATAGAGACAACCCAAAAGCAGTGGTGCTTAGGGAAATGAATATAAACACCTCCTTGGAATATTATTAATGACTCAAATATGAACTCTGTGCGAACCTGGAAAAAGCAGCTGTGCTCTGGGGAAGCAAGTGTGGGGTTGGGCTGGGAGGAGAGCCACAGAAGAGCTGCTTTGGGGAATTTTTGTTTTTGCAGCACTGAACACTCTTATCCCAACCCAGGATACTCTAAAAATGCAACGTGGGCTCAAGGCCCCATCCAGAATAAATGGCCTCTAACTGCAGACTCTGAGCAGTCATGTAGTCCTGCAATGAAGTAGAATCCTCTGAACCTCTCTCCCCACCAGCCACTGAGCCCCAGCTCTGCACCTTGACCACCAACCCATGCCACACACCTCTGGAGGCACCTGCAGGGAGAAAAGGACTGAGTTATTTGCTTGTTGAATGGTGAATGGCATCTCCATCTTCTTTTCACCATTACTTAGCAAGGACAGCCACATTCTTGGAAAAACAAACAAACAAACAAAAAAAAACAAACACAAAACAAAACAAAAGGAAAAAATACTTGGCTTGAGGGGAAGGTGGGTGTTGAGCCCTCTACATGCAAGGCCAAGTGCTGGCTCAGCTCCCTCCTCCATCCCTGAGGTAGGTGAGGTTCACCTGGGGCAGTGTGGCCACAGCCACAGCCAGGCTGGTTGTGGCTTCCTGCTAAATTTCCTCCCTGCAGCCCACCACGATTTTTACTGTAGGCTCAATTTTTCTATTATTTTCCCCCATCTCCTCTTCCCCACTCCTGCCCCTCTGACCTCTCCATCATCAGGAAAGGGGACAGGGGCTAAGCAAGCATGATGCAGCTTTTTGTTTCTTTATGCCTTCCTTGCTGCAGCTGCTGTCCAGCTCAACCCATCTGAGCTTTGAAGGAAAGCCCAGCATGGGAACTGCACTATCCCATTTATAAGGGGAATAGGGGAATGATTTCTCTTTTCCTCCCACATTCCTGCCAGCCGTCCTTGCCTCATAAATCATAAAGCCAATGGTGTGCATGTCCTCCCCCATCCTCTTCTGCTTCCGACAGTGCTCCTGGATCAGCCCAATGGGGAAAGTGCAGCCTCCCTCAGGATCATCATGATCCTCATCTTCCTCCTCCAACTTGATTAAATACTGAGGATTCATCCAGAATGTGTCTGGGAAGTGGATTTAAGCAAACTACTCAGAGGCTTCTTTGGTAGCAACCGTGATGATATTTAAACATGTCAGATACGACAGATGTGGCTCTGACTGCCAAAATCAGCTGTGAGAAGAGAAAACCAATGCACTGCCCTGCCCACCCCAGCTTCTACAACCACAAAGGACCCTCATCAGGGAGCCACATTTCCCAGACACCCACACTTTTTGGAGATTAGTCCTAGATATCCCATAAGCCATCCCAAAACATCTCCTGGAAGCTCCCAGAGAAAGTACAAGTGGACAAGTAAAAGGTTTCCCCAGTTTTTCTTACTTGGGTAGTTCCTGCAGACCCCTGCAGTGGCTCCTCGCCTCCAGTTCCCATCCAGCTTCTGCAGGCTCCACTTTTTATACCTCTCACTTGCCAGGGTGCCTGGAGTCAGGTTGCAGATGTCCAGGCAGGAATAATGCCTCAGGAAGTCACTGAACACCATCCTGTGGGAGGCAGGGCCACTGGCAAAGTCTCCTCAGAAGGGTTTTCCATACCACCACCTTGTCCATCCCCCTCCCTGTCACTATGATTTAGCACTAGGGTTTGGGGTGAATTTGCACACTCATCTTGGAGAGCAAACTGGGAGAATAAAAGCAGAGCAGCTGACATTCCCTTCTGCTGGAATGGGAACCCAGTGACACTCCCCAAAATCCCCCATCTTCGTGTCTCCTGGTCAGCCTCTCCTGCACCTCAGGGTCAACACCAGAAGAGTTTGGGCAGCTGGAAGAGAACCTCACAGCCCATGGGAAAGGTGAAACCCTAATGTGGCTGTTCTGGCACAAGATCCAACTTTTTGCAGTTCCAGAATTCTCAAACCACTGCAGAATTAAAAATAGACACACCTGGCACATAAAATACCTCACTTTTCAAATATCCAAGGTAAAGGATGAGAAACAGAGTGCTGTTTTTAGAAAGTGCAATGTCTGGACTGAGGCAGAAAAAGGAAGAGTCAGAATAAAAACTGCCCAGCCACAGAAGTGAGTAAACTCCAGCTCTCGTGGCTAACAGCAGAAATGGATTTTTAAAATAATTTTAGAAAGTGAGTTTTCAGAAGCTCACCACTGAATCCAGGCTGTTAAATAAGCAGAAACTACAGGGAGCTTTCTAGGCATTCACCAGCCAAATCACTGCATCTTACACAAAGGCTGGAATTTGCATGAAAGGCATTACATACTGTGATGGCTACCAGGGAGATGACAGTGAGGGGATGCTCCTCTCTGAAACAGTTTCATGTGAACACCAAATCCAGACAGGACTTACAGAGGAATTTCAGGTAGGGAACAGAAAAAGAGAGAAAAGCCAGAAACACGAGTGCACCCCTGCAGTAAAGGGCTACTGGCAACAAGGAAGCCATTGACTCATTTGTCATTCCATTTCCCAGTCCACTCCACTTCTCCCCAGGGATTTCAGATTCTGATCAGCTCTGAACTGTTCCTCGGAAGTTCACCTGATGGGATCAGAAGTGTATGGAGAGTTACCAGGGACTCAGCACCACACTCCTTCCCTCATCCTCTACAGTGATTAAAAATGTGACAGACCAGGTATCTCAGTGCTGGGCATGACAACATGCACACATCTGGTCCAAAAGGCAAAAGTCCAACTGATTCTGAGTGAGCTTCACACAGCCAGGCTTGTCCAAAGAAGTTTTACAGCATGCACAAACCAAAGCCCATGAAAACCAAAATGTCTGATTTGTATTGCTAAAAAATCACCTTTGATAGGATAACAAGAAAAGGGAATGTAAAACTGCTATACAAAAGCCCAAAAGCAGGTATGGAGATGTTTCTCAAAGTCATCACTTAGGTATAAATTGTCTTTTCACATTCAAATGCCGATTTACCCCCCTGATTATATATAAGAGGAGCCTGTTACAACAGCCAGCATACTCAGACTGGCCACAACCCCTCTGACCTCACCAATGCCCCACAGAGCAGCAGCCTCAGCCCTTCCCCTTGTCATCTGCTGCTCTCTGCAGTCCAGAAGTAGCACCCCAGTTGAACCATCCTTACTCAGTCTGCACAGATCTCCAAAGGAACAGCCTGGCTACATCATGCCTACTTGTGAATTAAGGTGAGCAAACTCCCTCTTCCCTGCTTTTGCTGTGAGAAAAAGACCAAATGCACACCCACAAACCAGCACAGCATCTCAGCAGCTCTCTACACCTCACCCAGAACTTTCAAAAATTATTTCAGAAGCCATTACCAGTGAACTAACCAAAAACCCACTGCACACATGGAAGGATGCCACAATCTGTTTCCTTTGTTTTGTCTTGCTTGTCACCTGTTCTTGGGCAGCCCCCTTGTGTTTGAACACCAAACCCAGCTGAAAGGTGCTGTTCAGCAGGCACTTCAGGGACAATAATACATGGGGTTGGGGGATTCCCTCGATTTTCACAGCCACTGCTTGGGCAGTCTGGCCTTTAAACGCTGCAGAGAAAAGTCACTTCTTGCCAGACAGTGAAACATGTGGCTGTCATTGTCTTTCCACCATTTCAGATGTGTGTGACTTCTAAACAAGCATATTTGAAGTTTAAACAAAGAGAGAGGATTGGATGGAGCAGGCAGGATTCCTGCTGTCAATTCATGGCCTATTACTGCCCCACAGCACACTCTCCATTTAAAGCTTAATCCCTGTGTCCCTATTTCTCTTACAGAACAGAAGGAAAGATTTTACAAGTTTTTTTTTTTTTTCCCAAAGGATAAACTCAGCAACAGTTAATTTACACTACAGAAAGTGCCAGCACTTATCAACAACATAATGTATTTTACTCTCCCCCCCACCCACCCAAGGAAATTGTATAAGTCTGGGGCAAAAATCCAGATGTCAGATTCTTATCTAAATGCAAACAAGTAAAACAGGCTTTGAAAATACCATTAAGTCAAATTGACATTAACCAAGCACTTTTCCTGCTGTGAAGCTTCCCTCTCCTGGGACTCTGATTTAACTTGAAAAATGGGAGGAAACATTTACATTTATATTATGAATGGAATTTTTGTAAACAATTTACCTTCCCCTTAGACATAACTGAGATGCAATCTCATTTGGGAGGAGGGTGATTACCACAATAACAATACTTAGACTCATTTCAGTAAGGGTAAAAGCAAAGCTGAATCCTTGAAGGCAGGGCCAAAGCTCCTCTTTGCTTTCTCATGTGGCTCCACCTTCTGACAATGTGTCTTCCCATAAAACCTTTTAAAGGTCTGGCAACAGTCCCAGCCTCTCTGCTTCAAGAACAGAGCCCAGAGTTTTGGGGAACATTTTGGTACACCTTGTGCAACAAAAAGGCTGCAGGGAGGATGGACATTGTCACCTCTGAGCACCAGACTGCAGGAGCCATCAGCAGCAGCTCTCTGTCCAAACTCTCTCAGCCTGTGCCATCCTGCTTCCAAGACAAGGCTTTCTTAGGAACACAGATGTCCATCAGGACCCCTAACAAGTTCCCTGTGTGATTCATTACCATCACCCTTCTAAAGAGCAGAAGATCTCACAGAAGAAGTACAAGGGAGGGAATGAACTTT